TTTAGTTCAAATATGATGAACATGATGGTATAGTTTGATAATGAATATAACATGTTCGTTTTATAAATATTTACTCATTTAATATTTACTCAATATAAAATATTTACTCAATTGCTCTACAATACAAACAAATTAATCTGTATTCTGTATAAACATATTAAATATATTAATTTCTATTCAAATATAAAATATAATCATACCTATAAGTTTATGTATCAATGTTTCATATAACAAACATAAAATATATATAGAGTAGAATAAAGAACATTCCTGAACCAACAACAATGAAAAATTGTTGTCAATGATTTGAATTGTTACAACTTTTTAAAGAAATATCGTATAACAATCCATTTGATCTCATTTTAAACCACAGAGCCACTACTTTGATTGTTCTCAGTTTGTTTTCTTCAAAAATAATTTTGACATTATGTAACGAGTCGATAATTTCGACGTTATGTAACGACTTTTTTTCTCTAAAATTAGTAAAATTTGTGATTTCTTTTGTGATTAAATTCACCATTATTTTGAAAATTGAAGTCGTTTCTTTATAGAGATTCCTTAGAACTTACTGTATTATACGATATTTTTTCACTATTTTATTCAATCTTAAATATTAGAGTGAAACGACAGAAATTTTTAAAATCGAATAATGAAAGAAAAGATTCTAATCTTCATGACTAGAGTGGCTTTAATCATGAAAAAAATTTAAGAACAGTAAGAAAAGTTTGAATTTTTACGAATTTTAAAGAAAAAAATATCCTTATTCGCATCCGCTACATGAAAACCATCTTAGAAAAAAAAGAAAAAAACGAATTTAGGATTCTTAGGAAGCTTTATATTTTAAAATGAAATCGAATGGATTATTATATGATAATTTTGTTAGGAAATAAAAAGAAAATTTAATCGTTATTGATTCAGTTATGTTCTTCATTTTATGTATGAAATTTCTATACTATGCGTTCGAATGTTTCCAAAAAATGTGTCTATTTGTCTGTGATGTAAATAAACATCTCAAAAAATGTACACTCTTTTGGTATTTCTCTATTTAAGATATTGAATTTTGAGAAAATTGTCGAGTTTGATACACTTCTAATAAGTAGTTCAATTATAGTTCAAGAGAAAAAGGTCAAATTTTTTATTTTCTTTCCATTATCTGTGTTGTGTCTATGTACATATATGTAGAAATTTTTGTTAATGCAGAATAGTTTCTTGTATCAATTATTTTTCTACAATTCATACGTTCATTTAAAGAAAACAGTCGGATTTTAATCGGTTAGTGCAATTTTTGATTGTTGTATGTGTATCATTGTTGTACCAGTGCCCAGCTATAAAAGTTTTTGATATTTAAAAAATGTGTTAATTAAATGGCAATTATGAATGTTCCGAACTTCTTTTTTCATCATTTCTTTTTTTATGATGAATTGTAAAATTCCCGTGTTTTTGAAATTTGTTCTAAATTGATATGATGAAAAATCATTAACCGTAAATTACTAGCATGTAAATACATACACATAAAGACTATGAAACTAAGAAATTAATGAATTATAGTATATATTTACAAATAGTAGGATATTATAGTTGATGATAGGTAGGTTGATGATGAATCACAGTTTCCAAACCATTTCACATTTTCACTTCTGCGGAAACTTGAAATTTCAAATATCATAAAATTTTGTTCTAAATACGTGATGTTGTTTGTAAATATACATTTTTTTTACGTTGTTCCATTTAATAATAATAATAATTGATATATATTATACGAAAACTATTAATCCCAGTAACGGAAGTTCTACTTTATTTTTCACTTTCTTTAGATAATGGTGAACGGAATAATATTTTATGTATAATAAAATATCTCTGATGGATTATATGATGTATGTATGTAGATATGTTGTTACGATACTCGGGTTGGGTTCCCATAAGTATTTTGTGACAAAAATATCGGGGAATTCTGAAATTTTGAGAACCACATTTCTTTTTTGAACACAATTGAATTGTAATTGGTTTAACCTTGGAATTGTTTTCAAATCCTACATATTATATATTTATTTTTATATAAAATAAAGTCCCGTACAAACGTTTTGTCTGTATCTACGCAACTCAAGAATCGTAATAGAATATTTTTCGAGGAGTATTTAATGAAACATTAATAAATAGTATAAAATACACCATACAATATGATACAATATAATACAATACATAATTAAAGGAAATTGAGCGGTTGAAGAAAAAATAACTATCTGATTACTTTTTGTGAATAAATTGGCTCAATAATGAAGGGGTCAATAATTGAGTAAACTGATTCACATACTGGAATAAAATAATTCTATTGATCCAATGAATACAATACTGGCATGTGAATAAACCAGATTTATGCTACTAGTTTAAGGCTTAGGCAATTTGGCAATCTGTAAAATTGTAAAATTACTTTAGAAAAACTGTAAAATATATAAATTATAAATTATTACAAATGAGTTATTACAAAATAACAAAGACATCTATAATCTAATACCATATAGATTACGTGGGCAAATAATATCAAAATGAAATTGAAACATCAAATTTCTTTAAATCCATCATTTTTTGCTCTTGTATAAATATCAAAATTAATTGCCTATAAAAATTTACTTTTACTTAAATTTCCATTCCAATTTAAGATGTCAAATTCTTATAATTTAATTTTTCTATTCTAGTTTAAGATGTCAAATTCTTACATGCATTAAATTGTAATATCGACTCATATGCATAGATGGTGTATCAAAAAATAAAAAGAAAAAAAAAAGAAACAAGAAACTGGTCAGTGTTGTTAACGGGAACAAAAAGTAACACTGGCCATCTTATTCTGATCTCTCCTACGTAAATACCGCTATGCGCTGAAACTGAAGCACTATTTACTCTATATTTGTATATACACATTGTTTATACAAATTTCTGTTTTAAAAAATTCGCTCTGGAACATGATTAGTGTTTTTAATATCTTGGAAATTCTTGTGTATATACATCACATGATACTTTCGAGAATTCGATCTCACTCCCGAAAAAATTCCCGAACCGACTCGAATCAATCTGACATTTTTGGGTTTTCACATATCTCTAATAGAGGAAAAAGTCGAGATATGGAAATCAGTGAACATCTACTCTTTGGAAATGGGTGCGTTTGACGTTGATGGTGTCCTTGAAGAGCTTAAACGTTCATCTAACGGCGTAATAGCGCGTGACGCGAGTTAGTGCGATATGTTGTACCTCTGAAAAATATACGGCGCACCGCGACGTTTTCTCGAGCTATGATTCAAGAAGAAATTTTCTATCTGAAATACAACCCTGCTTTTTATTCATTAAAATTTGTAAGTATTTTTTCACAGCTAAGATTGCCATGAAATTCCCAGAGAAATTGAAATGGTTAACGACGTTGAATAATCAAATAAGAAAGTTTAGCGGGAAAGCTTCACTTTGCTGAAAATGAAAATTGCGAACGAAGAGTATGCTGCAAGAATTCCGACAAAAAAATAAAAAAATTAAAAGGTTTCGAATTAAACGATGACATTAAATAATAGTAAATCATTTAGAACAATTTTTATTTGTATGTTGAAACTAGCGCTCACAAACAATACACTTAATTAACCCTTCGACTTTGTTTCTATTACATCTTTCAAGAATAGCATGCTTGTCCACTAAACTAGTTCAATTTGGTTATTTATTATATTAGTTGTTAGGTTAATATTAATTTTATAAAAATTAAGTTAGTATTAATTTAAATGAAAGATTAATTTTCTTACTCTTAATTCCTCATATTTAATTTAGCTTATTGACTTTGTATATTCGCTGACTTTTCTTTCCAAATTTTGCTATTTCTAATTTTATTTTTGCATCTTTTGTAATTTTTTTATTCCGTATAAATAAATAAATTAAATATCCAGATACTCTGGCTGCTTTTTACTATAGTATGAAATAAGTAGTGAGTAGGAATATAAATACAATAGCAAGAGTTGAAATAAATGAATGCAGTAAATCTTAGTTAGTAAATCAATTAGTAATTTTAAATTTAGTAAATTTACTGAATATACACTGAATTTGAAGTGAAACTGATATGTGAGTGAAATAACTAAATTATTATTGACTGTTCAATAATTTTTTAATTAATAATTTTTTAATTAATTTTTTTTTTTTCGTCAAAGATAGTTAGTAGCAGGAACGATAATTCTGCCGATGATATTTCATTGTCTTTTACATATTCCCCTCTGAGGAAATGTTAATTTGTTCGTAACTGTTATTTTTATCTGTTGTGTATTAACATGGATATTGTAATTGGATAAAAAGGCAGATAAAATCTCAAGGGGATACTGATTGTCTTTTTTCTGATATCATAGTTACTTTATATCAAATCTCATATTTAATTTATTGAGCACCTCTTAAGGAATTCGTATATAATTTGCAACTCCTCTCTTATTAAGATCATGTAATAATGCTAGTGCAATCGGAGAAATGTTAAATTATTGTTACTCGATAATAAATGTAATTTTATATATAATTGATAAGTATATACGTCTAATACGTATATCTAATTTGTTTTAAAATGAACAACATCTTTAGTTTGACATTAAATTCTGCAATAAGATGATAATGATAAATTAAGTATGACTGCTTACAATGTTAATTTCGACGAATTAATGACATTAACGGACAGCATCATTTTCATTACTTAATTACAATCATATTTGGTAGTTTTGAAAAAATCATCTATGAACAACAAAATATTTTGTCTCTTACATAGTAAATTCTGTTAGCTGCCTTTTTAATTCTATGTGTGTATGTACATATATACATTTCAATATCGCTCTATTTTTCTATTTTTCTAAAATTTTATTAATTGCACAAAGCTATGTGTCTGTTTTGTTTGTCTCTCGGTTTGAGTAACATTCTTTATAATTATAATTCTAATAAAAATTTTCTTACACTTAATATGTATAAATTAATATTTATGCATATTGTGCATTACAAACCTTAGAAGCATAACGACACCAGTCGTTTCTAACTTTCTGGAGACTGCTTTCCAGCTAGCCATAACTGTAAATTTTTGTTTCGCTGTTAACGGAAGCCGTGGGTCTGTAGTAGGTTGATTCGGTGTTGCCAATTTGCTAAGTTCGCAACCCATGTCGAGTAACGATGGTGTGTTCCTTTTTTTCCGGAAATAAAGAAGAACCACCAATACACTAATCCTTTTCTTGCTTTGGCGAGCAATTATTATACTATTTGTCCGGATCAAGCTTTCGGATCACCTCTATATCAAGCTCCGTTAATCTTTGATTCGCGTCGATGATGAATCGACAGATGCCCCACGGAAATTAATCCGGCCGAAAAACGAACGAGCACTTTAATCAAGCAACTGCAACCAGCTGCTTCCCCATCATTTCATCAAATCACCCGCGTTAAAGCGTTTCACTGGGTTCCTGTCTCGAAGCAGGATTTAAGATATCCTTCCTAAGAGAAAGGAAGAATCCTTCCAGATCTTGCAGTTATCACTTCTAGTTCTTCGTTCACCGCTTGATTACCACTTTACGAATAGTCAAAAAGTTTAACAATGTTTTGTTTCATCACTGATGTCCTATTCAAAGTTATCGTCAAAGTAGTCGTCGAAATTGGAACTGCTACGTCGTAGATGAAAAGTTGAAATCCATTTGCTCTTTGTCGAATACTCGTTCTCGATAATTTTCAGTTTAAAGTTCAGTCAAAATACGCATCGAAATTTGCGGAAAATCTGTTTTTTCTCTTCTTCAATAGGATTTATCTTCTCCAAATCTTACGATAAATCGAAATAATAACAAACCATATATGTTGATAAAGTTCCTCTTTTGTCTTCATTGAAAACAACTGCGTTGAAATATTTCACTGATAATAAATCGCTTAATGACTTCGGTAATGACTTATTGATAGTGGAGAAACGAGATGGTAGACATTTCTAGAAGGGAAAGTGGTAAGTTATAAAAAGAAAAAAATAAACATACTTAATTCTTTCCAATTTCTATTGGTATCGAAATAACATGAGTACCACGGATATTTTTATTTGTTCAATGTGCAGACCATATGCAGACCAATAGCATATACATTCTAATAGCATCGATTTCGACAAGTTGTTTGTTGTTCCATAATATTAGTAGTAATACTAGCGTTTTAATTATCTTTGGTAAAATGTATTTTGCGTTGCTTGAATAATTGATCAGAATGGAAAGAAAAATACAAAAATAAATTTTAATATCATTATACATTTATGATGCAGTGTAAATAAGAAGAGATGAATCACAAAAAATACATTTAAATATTTCCGTTACTTGTATCATAAAATTCCCAGAGACCGTATTCCACTATTTCAAAGTCTATCTATGATCATAAGTCATCTTTTTAAGTCACTTTAGATCATAGGTCATTTTTTTCAGTCACTTTTTTATAAGTTTTCAAAATAAGTACATATTTAATTTTGTCATAAACGTAGTGGAAAGAAAGAGAGAGAGAAAGAAATTTAAAGGTTGTTGACTTGACGTGAGAAAAAGAAGAAAAATATTTTCACTGCTAAATACTCAAATATAATAATTTATAATTTTTTGCCTGAAACTTTCTAATCGACATCGATTTTCTGAAAAATTCATTTTCTTTAATAAATATTGCTCTATTAGAGAATTAAATTTTTGTCAATATCATTCATTTCGCTCAATATTCAATATTCATAATATCTGATTATTAAATATAATTATAAAAGAAAGATGAGAAAAAATAACTACTTCTCCGTGACTTTAATAAATTCGTAAATTGAAAGACTAAAATATGAGTTTTATCTAGAATCTGACAAAAATTTAAATAACGTAGATTAGATTCATCAATGAATAATAGAAAAAAACACAATAAAAATTTGGAAAAATAGAAAAAGATGATTTTGCTATTAACTTTGGAAGTTTGAAACAACTTGTAATTTAAACGTAAAACTTCTAAAGAAATTCGTTGTTGAAGTAAAATTGAAGAGAAATAATTGGAGAAGAAAAAACGAAAGGAATGAATAAGTGGTTGAAGTGAAACTTCTTCGATGGAAAAATGTGAAACTTGGAAAAGAAGCAGTAACGAAGATGAAAATGAGAGAATTGTTTACACGAAAAGGTACGATTGGAGAAGAAACAATTTTTTTCAAAAATTTGAATGATCGTTGAAAGCAAATTTGCCGCGTTGCTTTATATTAGTTACTCTATAAAAATTCGTAAAAAAAGCGAATGATCGATCCGGTCGATGAATCGAGTACACGTTACACGAGTATTAACGAATCCAGATCCAAATGGAAATAAGAAGAAGCGAAACATCACAAAAACAAAACAAGTGGTTATGTATAACGGAACAAGAGCAACGCCATGAAACTTGAAAACGAAAAAACAAATATGAAAGATCGTTTCCTTCTGTTTGATGCCGAGAAAAAAATATTAAATACGTATATTATATATTTAAGGAGATACATGCAAAGAATAACCAAACACTGGTGCTCATAAATATTTATATACTTGTTCTCATTTTTCAAGTTATAGAAGAGATGAATTTTCTCAAATTTTACCAAACTATATACATTAACAGCGGACAAGATAAGTAGAAGAGAAAGTATTGAACTTGAGACATTCGCGTTGTGACCCTGGCATTATGAAGTAGAACTGCGAGATTATCCGTAATCAAAGTTAACAATTACTTTCATAGTTACATGTATATACATTCCATGTTAAACTACAAAAATGCGTTAATATATTTATGAAAAAACTTTAAAAAATAAAGAGTGATTTCTCTAAAAAATATTTTACTCTAAATTTTTTATATTTCCGCATACTATGCATAACTTGTGCATTTAAATTTTCCATAAATGTAAATGTATAAATGTCAATATTCTATATGTATTACAATTACTACAGATACACAAGCGATTTCCTTTTTATCGATACAGAATATTCTTTAAGCGATTTACAATTTAGAAATCGAATAACTTAAAAATCGAAAACATAGAGTTTTTTAAACGATGAAACAGTTGCACAATTATAAACACCAGTTGTTATTGTTTACATATTTTCAAAGATTGTACTTTTAATATAACGATAATTATAATGAATAAAATCATTTCAGATTTTCTTTTATCCGTAATTTTCTAATTAAATTACTTATATCCTGTAAAACATAAATAAGTAGTTAAACGCCTTTGGACAATAGTGTACATATGGAAACGAAAAACAAAAAACAAAAAATATTCAAAAGCAGAATTTTCATCTTTTCTGTTCTAAATTATCATTTTCACGATTTATTACTTTTTACAGTTAGTGACTTTATACCAAGTATTCATATTCTTTAAATTAATACGTACGTTTAGTATAAATATTTTTGGCAATTACGAGAATATTATAAATGCACATATCCACCTCTAAATGCACAATCCCACTTCTAAAATTTTAATATTTAATTCGGGTCAATTTTTTACGATAAAATTTTATAATATATTAAGGACATGAAGAGAGTTAAATCAGTGTAACACTGAGATATTTTCTCCTGGGATAATATTAAAACAGAAAGAAACGATAAAACAACAAATCAGAAGAAAAGAAAAATAGAAATATTAGATTTGCAAGAAACAAAAATATCCTAGTTATCGAACTTTTTAAAAAAAACATTGTCCACCGTCAAATTTCCTCCTGCTTCTGATTTAAGATAACACTGTAGGAATAAACAGAGGGAAAATAGAAATATCGAAGAATCACACCTGATGGATAGATGAAACACGATTTCCCTGATCGCCGACGCGTGTTCAAATTGTCAACCGAATCGATTCGCGCGATTTACAAGCCACGAGCCACAATTTCCCCTCGGTTTTAGCAGATGCTGGCTCGTTGATCAGCGGAGTGCTGCTTCTGCACCCTGTTCCTTCTTCCTCATCTCGGTCGAAGGAAGAGAGAGGCGAAAGAGTATGTGGTTATTGTGTGCGAGTATTTTCAACGACGCGACCTTTCGTCAGAAGAGGTTCTTCTCGTTTCGCGCGTGCCTCTGTATGCGTTACTCGCGAGTACAGGCAATTCCTGTCGATAAAGTCTTTCTTCGTCGTTCTTTCATACGTAGTTCTCCCTGCGAGGATCTGTGCTACGATTTTCTAATGTGATCCCACGTCCTATCTTTCCTATATGACTACGATTTATCTTTTCTATCTTTAGAACGTCTCCCGGGGCTTTGAATCGCTTACGTACTGATAATTTACACAACCATGTTGCCTTCAGCCCAGACGAGCCGAGACTGAGCCATCAGTAACAAGTGCTCAGGTCGAATACGCACATGCGCGCAGCTACCTTCACCCCCTTGTCTTTTCGGCCTTCCCTTTCAGACCCCTTTCCTCTTCCCTCGTCCCTGGTCCTTTCCTAGCCTCATCACTCTCGTTCCTCTCCTTTCGCCCTTCATCCTACACCTTTCGCCCTGCTCTCCGCGTCGCCCGTTCTCTTCGCAATCTCGCATTAACCTTCCTCGGTACAACCTACGACCAATTAATCGAGAACTTTGCATTTTTCTTCATCGAGTTTTTCTTACTCCCGAGCGTTTCCGTCGCGCTACACCGGACAACTGACGATAGACAGGCTAAATAGGCTAGTAAATTCAAGTGACAATAGTCTTTTCTTTTCCAAAGTAGTGAAGGTTGATGAAATTCACGATGAAAGTTACACGAAATAAAATTCACTCTGTTGAGAATATGAGTTATAAAAAAAGTGGCATTACGTTTCAAAATTACATAATCAAAAAGTTAAATGTAATCTCACTATCAAACGAAATAAGAAAAAAAATTTTTTTTAATTTTTTGACTGTGTAACATTACCAAAAGTTTGAAAATTTAATACTGAATGAGAAGCATGTAATAAATTAAGAATGCATTCGTCTTGCAACATATGCCTTTTGATATATTTATTCAATGTATTATAAATAATATGTTACCTTCCTTAAATCTCTAACAAATAAATATTTTAGTAGGCATTTTATTATTGATTATAAGATTATTTGTATAATACTTTAATGTGAACTAAATATTCTCTTTTTTTTAAGAGAATGCATTAACATTGAAGTCTATCATTAAATCTGCTTCTCGCAAATATTTAATAAAATTAATTAATATTTTGTTTCACAAAATAAAAGAAAATGAAACTATATATATATATATATATATATATATATATATATATATATAAATACCGCAATGACCAGACTATTGTATATTAAAATGTAATTGCCTGTAATTGTCATACAAATGATTATTAGACTTCGGATCTTTATGTAATTTCATATTTTCGTAAACTCAGTTCAATAAATGAAGCGTAAACAAAACTATATTTCTATTAAAATATAATTTCGCTTAATAAATAATATACAATAATAAACACTCACTTTCGATATTCTATTTATTTCTGCATATTTTCTTTACAAGTTTGCAAATATAGTGAAACAGTAGAAATGTTAACATACTTATCCAGTCAACAAATCGGACAGATGTGTGTTTATGTTAGTTAAAGACGCAGGATGAGAAGATTCCCTGAAAAGGCCGGAAGATACTCTGCTCGCGAGCAACCTACCAATCAGCTGGCTTTGTGTTAATTCAACCGAAAGCCGCGCGGCGAGGTTTCCGTTCTTTTCTTCAAAGGCTGTTTCTCAGTCAGTTTGTGACGACGCGTGGCCTCAACGTGACGTGCCTTATGATCCCGTTCGATGAATTGATGTTCCTCGATCGATATCCTTGATATATTTGTATTCGAGAGTACAAATAAGTGAGTGAAACGACAAAAATGTCCCCGCTCTTCAGTTTCATTCGCATTCATCCTTTTTCTTTGATTAATCCAACTTGACTAATGATTGATTGAAAAGAATTGTGTTCGCCGATGAGATTTACGATTCCGTGATAATTTGTCAAGTTAAAAACATAATATGATACGATTATTAATTACTGAGCTTTAAAAAAAATAAATCGTGTATGTATAAAAGTATGGTAAATAATTAACGATCGCAGAGAAATATCGTCGCATCGATTTGCGTATTAACATGTTCGAAATTATTGGAACGTAATTATTATTGTTCGCGATAAAAGATAATTATATAATGACTTTCTTTTTAAATTGATTTTTTTGTTTCTAGAATGGTATTTCATATTTATAATAAATAAATGATATTATAATTACGTGATAGTATCATATTTCTCATAAAAAATGATAGTCGGAAATTTGCATTGAATAGTGAAATGTAGTGAAATGTGTTGTATTGATAATTACAAGAAATAGTTAAAGATATTGATGGCGAGAAACTAAACAAGAACAACGATCCTTTCGCTTGCCAGGTAAGTAAATACCAAAAAGACTTTCGAAATCTTTTTCTTCATTTAATGTAATTACCATTTTCTTTTCGTTGCCACGTGTCTATAGTACAGTAAGCATCTATAGTACTCTTCTTAGACTATCTATAATACATAACATAAAAATCTTTGCAGAGATGGGCGGATTAAAGAATTATTTGACCGATCACGTGGAACTACCATGTCTTATTGTTAGTTACAATCGCATATAATTCAATTTCATGCATATTTGATCTATTTGTTAAATACAGCTTCTGTATTTGCATAAAAATATTTGATAAAAAGTTGTACTAAAAAAACACTTGATAAATATTTGCATAAAATTTTTAAATTGAAAATAAGTATTATATGGATAATAAAATTAAATTACTAATAGAAGTTATAAATTTTTTCTGTCTATCTGTTTCTCTGTCTGTCTCTCTTTCTCTTTCTCTTATGTATTATTTTATACTTCACTGCAGAATTTATACAATACTTAAATAATAATGCAAAAAAAATTATTAATTTTAACTTAGAAGTTTTAAAGTAGTAATTATTTTTATTATTATTCGTGTTTTATTCTAACGAAATTTATGTCAATCTATTGTGTATAAAGTCTGTGAGTTAAACTGAAATCAAAATATTTTGTTACGTGAATTACTTTGAATAATATGAATAACGCATCATATTGGTGACATTTCATTTGAGCTTTTAAGAAACTTTCAATTTCATATTTGCAAACAATATTAAAAGTAATTCTTTAAAAACCGTAATAATTATTATGTGAATCACGATAATTTCTATGCACGAACGTGATTGATTTTCCTAAAGTTTTAAGATTCATCATTAATTAAAAGTACAATGTGTTACGAGGTACGAATATAAAACGAATGTGGCAATATGATATTAAAATTTGGACTGTTGCATCACATGATTTATATCTCTTAATAATTGAAACCACTTGACAAACTTGGATGATTGTTTATTGTAATATTTACATGAAGTAAATATGATCGGAAGTATTTCTAGTATATAAAAAATGGAAAATTTGAACCTGATCGAATTTTCAAAATTTTAATATATAAAAAATCAAAACTATAAAACTAGCATTTAAAATTGACAAGAAATGAACTGACTTAAAAATTATAATTTTTGAAAAAATTCTGTTTAAAAAATTTTTTTCAATTACATAATTCATAAATAAAATGTAGATATGCATTTTCACGAATGCTAAGATTTTAAAAATTTACAAAATACATATAATATCCAAAAATATATCTAATATTGTAATATTAGAAGCAAGTTTCTATTTCGAATTAATATCTTTAATAATGGTTGTAAAAATATAAAATAGTATAAACATACACAGTTCATTCATAAGATTCAAAGTAACATTTAAAATTTGAGAAAAGTTGATCGATTTATTTATATTATCCAAGTATAGGTTGAGTTTTACAACAAATTATCAATCATTTGCTGAATCGAGGAAGTATGGTTTAAAGATACTTATTTAGAATCTTACAAAATTAAGAGAACTTCTATGAGCGTAAACACATGTAAACAAAATATTATCTGCTTAGGAATCGCGTTATTTTTTAAGAAAATTCAATTAATATTATTATTACAAACTTTCCCTAAGCAAGCATATTATCGCATTATCTAAGATGAATCGTTTGTATCTACGCCTAATTTATTTTGTACTGTTCTAGGATTTCAAAAAATATAAAAAAGTTTTGGATTATTTGATAAAGTCTTCACTATAGTCTTTGAAAGAAAAATGAAAATTTCCGGAAAAATTTCAGGCAAAATGAAAATTTCCTTTAAAAAAAATCACAGAAAAAATTTTGTTTACCGTATAAATGATCCAGATTGGCTATGAAGGATTAAAGGAAGCTTAAGGTAACTAACAAAAAAATAATCATTGGAATATTGTGAATACTATTTTTGCAAATTCGGAGAGAAAAATATTGAATGAGCAGTTTTAAAAGTGTGAACTTAATTATTCAGATTTTACTGTTCTGGATGTTATTTTCTGTATTTTCTTTTTTCCCAAAATGGCAAATTTTTAAGAGAAATAAAAATGGCTCAAATTTTACAGGAATTTTTAGATATAATACAATAGATTTTAAAGTTTTCCGTTGGTTGTAAAATTGATAGAATTTAATATATGTATTTGATAAATTTTTGTATATTATAAAATCATTGAAAATTTGAAATATATATATATGTTTACGTTTTGATATTATTCAGTTTGTTACAATAATTGTTTTCTTATATCAATATTAATATATTCATAAATATACAGTTACATTTAATTTGTTATACCATATTTATTGTTTCAATTTAAATACAAATAATTAATTACGTAATTTACATAGTTTAAATACAAAGAATTAATTACGTTAAGTAAATCAATCCTTAATTGTATGTACAATTTTTTTTAAGTCATATATTTAGAACTAATAATATATAACATTGCTCTTATAATGGTATGCATATGAAAGTTAGTTTTAATTTAAGTTCTAATTCAAATTTCTTTTAATATTTTCTTATTAATTTCTTATTAATTATATATAATAATAATATTATTATTTACATATTTCACAAGTCTACCACTTACAAAATGAGAAAAAAATAGCTCTATATATTTAACTAGTCTATTATATCAAAAAATCTCTTGTCATGTAGATTTTTTTTACTAGAAGCAACATTCTATTTTTAATACAGAAAAATCCGAATAATCCGCAATAGGGATAATCCACGCACGATCAATCTTGCACATATGGGATTGCGTTATTGAATTTAAAGGTTTCAATACATAAATCAGTATACACATATTTGAATCATGCATAACTGCTCTAACGTTGTTTGTTTAATTCATTGATAAAGTATGACAAATATTATGATAGTCGGTTTGATATATACATT